TAAGAGCAGTAGCTTAAATAACTCCACCACTAAGAAAGAGTCTGCTAGTACATGAAGCAGAAGCAATGCACAAACAAAAGAACGAGACAAACTTTCAGGCACACTGGCAAAGTCTTATTTTCCTAATGATATTGCTGGTTCCTCAACAGGAAAGATTTTTAGATAGAGCAATATGAAGTCTAGGGTAAGCAAGACTGGCAAATAAGCCTGACGACTATTTGCTTGGGGGTTTTCTTACATACTTTTCTTTATTGAAGGGATGGGTGGAGAAAGGAACTCTTAAGAACTGCTTTCTTATTCTGCCCAACTTCCCATTTTCCTGTTCTTCCTCTCCTCCCTGTGAATACTTGGCAACAATGTATTTTTAAGAAATACTCTTAATTAACCATTACACAAGGCAAATGGTACGATAAAAGAATATAATTAAGGAAACCGGTTTCCCTAAAAGCAGGAAGGTAACTCTAAACAAATATGAAAAATAACGAGTTTCTTACTCTCTTAACATATAGTGTTATATACATACAGTTGAATTTGGTCAGCACATTATAGCATACATTCTTTGAGCGCTATAGCTACTCTTTCAGCATAAATAGTTGGTCACAAAGGGTGAACAACGCATGGCCAAAACACAAAATAAAACCATTTAATGTTAATTAGACATCAAATACTTAGGAAATTGCTTTAGTGCCTTGATGAAGACTATGCTCAAGTATTAGCGAAAGTTATGAGAAAGTGTTTTGAAGGTGAAAACTTGCTACAAAAAATACCCCATGATTACGTAACCAAACTTCTCACCCCCAAGTAAGTGCATCCTGGACAAAGGAGGATGATGCAGAACAGTCACAGAAAGGTTTCAAACCACTCAAAATGGTTGTTGTTACTAATGAATCAATTTGGTGCCTGAGTTCAGAAAGGCGGCAATTTAGAGCTTGGTGTACAAGAGCCGTAGCTTAACAAAGGCCTACCAGCACCTATACAGATAGGCATCACTTGCTATACACAGACCTAACCCCCAGAAACAGGACAGAAGTATGGACAGATGGTATTTGAGGCCAAGGTCAACAATGAGGTCATCACAACCTTCAAGCCAAGGGTCTGCGATAAGACACATTTACTTTAATCACATATCCTTAACAGATCGTACATTTCCCATAGCGTATTTCCAGCTTGGCGCTAAATTTGATGCACAGCTTTTGTTTTCAAAAGTTCATTAATGTTTTAGGCTACAAGCTTAGTTTTAGCTCCGGATGTTAGCATTAGGGGAACAAGACGATGGAACTAATTTATTACAACTCTTCTGAATGTAAGCTGGCCAAAATAATTTACTGTAGTAATACTAGCTTGCCCCCTGCGGACCTGAAGTCTAATTGTGCCTCATAGCATGACAAAAAAAGAAAATTCAAACATGGTACCAATTTAAAGAAAACACACTTTCAGCTTTCATTAAAAACAAACAAACAAAAAAACCCCAAAGCTAAACATCTTGGGATTCCTGGAAATCAGAACCAACCAAACTTACTTTTTTATATAAGCAACTCACCTCTATCTGGAAATGTGCCTTCCACTCTTATTATAAGTAAAATCTCTGCTGGAAAATTACAGAAATGTTTTTTCCTGTCTCTTCATTTGCTATGTATGACAGCATTTTGTCTGAAGCCAGTTTCTGCTGTTTGCCAATGGTTTTGTCCATAGCCTCTTCCCCAGGGGGTTTCACACAAGAGGGGAGACTCTTTCATAAAAAAATATATCAAATTAGCAGGCAATTTTGGAGGGGGTGTGTGATGATTAATATGTGAAATATCTGAGTTTTGAGAAAACTGAAAATCTGTTACAAACTCCATTATGTTTCTACAAAGCCCTTACAGGCGTATCTGGAAGAGGCAAATATTTCACTTTAAACAATGTTACCATTACAAAAAATAAATTTAAATGTAAAAAAACCCAAAAACCAATACCAACCCAAAACAAAAGTCTTCAACACCTGAATTAATTCCATGTGCTCAGAACCAGATTCAGCAAAATATCACACATGCCCAGAGTATACTGACTTACCTGAGAAATGAAGGTATGCAGTAGTAGTTTGCAGAAGGTATCAAAAGCCTTGCAAAATTAAATCAAATTTTAGAAGGTAAGAGAAATGAAAGCCAACGAGAGGGAACTTTTGTACATATTTTCATTACTGCCAGTCACCTAGCTCTTTAGGGAACAACAATGAAGAGAATTCTTACTTTCAGTCTACAATCCTTTTTCACATGCAGAAGCCTACACACTCTCAAGAACGACACCTAAACTGTTCTTGTGGCTTAAACAATAGATTCCACATCGGAGAGCATACACCTCTGCTGTCTTTCCCTATAGCTTACATTACACCCTTCCTCAAAACGATCCCTAGGCAGAAGAAACGAGTAAAGGCTACTAACCTACCAAGTCTGATGGCCTTTTTAAAGGAATACAATTGTTTTAGTTCCCATTTAGTGTTCCAAATTACAGCCTCTCATAGCCTTTTTACTCCGATTCCTTACAAGTCGAAATCGGACTGTTATAAACGAATGCAACAAATAAATAGGCAAATGCAGGTTGTAAAACCTGCAAAATAATCTTAATTTAAAATACATAAGGCTGCCCTGCAGCTTTCAGTTTTAACTGGGTTTAGATGTGAAGAATCACAAGGGCTGCCACCCACATTTTAAATCGTTACTTTAAAATTAATTACTTTTTCACATGCAGTAGTTTCTACCATAATCAGCATATGCTTTGCAGCAGGATTTTTTTTTTTTTTTCTTTTTTAGAGCCACACTGGACAGAAATTGCTACACTTTAAAACATTTCCAGCAACAACCTGAAACTGGTTGCGCGGGTTTACTGCTCTTCACATTAAGAACAAAGTCACAATATAAACAGTCATAAAAATTATACAGAGAGGAGAACTCGATGCAAAGAATCCAAAACTTCTGAAGCGCTAAAGAACACCCTGCAGCACTGAGAATGAGCACGACTGGAAAACTAAATCTTAAAGGCTTTAGCTAGAAGAGGAAGCTGCTGAAAGGCCAGCGCTTCAGCGGAGAGCGCGGATCCCAGCGCGCCTGTACCGCTCGGGACGAGATCATCT